AGAAAAGATTACCATTAAATAAAATAGGTCGGGTCTTCATTGATTAAAATGTGACGAATTAATGATAATTGAAAACAATTCTAATTTTAATTTCAATCATTTACGCGAGCACGCACGCGCGCAATTATTCGATTATATATGAATTCTTATACGCTGTCCATACTAAGTGATGTTAATTATAAAATATAATTGTAAACCCAATTAAGTATGTGAAATTAATGTGCAATGTACGTAACACATATACTTTGCATGTGTTCATTGGGAAGATTATGAAACAAAATGGACGGTGTGTACCACGTGACTTTCGTAAACCAAGGAGTGGAATGTCGCAACTCTTTATATATATGGCTCTGATTTCAGTCAGAGTCGTAGATAGTGATTTCAGTCAGATTTCAGTTTAGAGTCTGTTTCTAAACGATTATTAAGGTACACGTTTTTTTCCCAGCAGTCAGGCGATCGATCCCTGTCCTATGTATTTTACAGAAAAATAATACACTACCATAAATTATACACTGCACGGAAAATTCCCATCTTGGCCACCACTGAGCTTGTAATTGTCAAATACAAAAATCCCTTCAAAATTTGCATTGTTTTCAATATTGTTTTATTTTATTTATCCAATACCCAACAGCACACAAAGTTGCCACCAATAGAATGGGAACAGTTTATAAATAAGCTTCAATAAAATATTTTAATTGCAATTAATTTTTTTGGCGTGGCACGTCCAAATAGCGACTAGCGAGGCCATATATGTGTTAGAAATTTTGACTATAGGCCAAGGCCTATACCCTGATTTAATGTTCATTAGGCTAGCCTAAGAAATACATTAAATAAATAAAATTGAGAGGTAAACTCATGTATTTTGTAACAGACAGACGATCATCTTACCAGTTATATAACAATATGATACGCCCAGTCATTGTTGCTGTTAGAAGGGTGTATAATTAGGAGTATAGAAGTATGATATTTCAACCGTTTAAAGCTTTCGAACGTGTGATGTAATACATGTTTTATTCTGTAAACTTTCAATAATTCATCGACGAATCAAAATACATCACAGTAAAGCGTTTGAGAACGTTACTATATATTAAACTGTCTGTAGCAAGTTTCTGGGCTGCAGAATATTTCAACAATCAAAGAGCAGAAAATAATTTACTGCAGTAAAATTTAGTTACCGCTGCGTTTAGCTCCCTCTATGCATATTTTGACCAATCAGAGGCCAGAGAACACGCTGCACAGTAAATTTCTAATTGAACTGCAGTTCAGAATCGAACTGAGCGATAGCGCGCTCGATCCATATTCGTAGCTCCTTAAGCGCGTGACGTCATTCACTGGGTCGTTGTTCACCATGTGCATTGATGTCTATCTGACCAATCAAACTGTACTGTATAGATTATTAATCTAGAGAAGTTACTCTCTGTAATCGGCCATTAGTCTGTCTCCCAAACGCTTATGTTCATTTGTGTTATAAATCAGCTAAAACTTTTTCCCCTCGGAAGTAGTTCTATTCAACTTATTCGACCCTTTCAAACGAGCAATTCGAAGTTTACAGATGTTTGAGGGGTTCCAGGTTGAAGTCAAGGCTACTGTATGAGAGTAATGTACGATAGTCCGGTAAATATAAAAAATTTTGTACTTATGAAAGTATAATCTCTGTCTCTTATACACATCTATCAACAGCACATTTTGCTGTTCATTCTATTTTTATATTATATCGATTTATAGAGGAAATATCAAGTCAAGCGTTGCATATACACCCATACCAACAATTGACCAAATAACACTATATATAATAATAAAAATGTTGCGATTGTCCTATAAAGCAAGGAATTTCACTGTCCCCATGGTAATAATAGAAACTATGAGTCTGTGACTTCATACGTCAGTATCTGTCTAACGGACCATGACATGGTTCTAAATAGGGCCTACCAGAAAATACATAAGACACGAGACTATTAGTAACTTACAACTCAAAATAGTAGGGCCTACGGTAAGTTGGTTGAAAATTCTTTAAAGTGTACTTCAGTTTTGTTTGTAGGTTAAACTTCTGTGGTCAAGCTCTTTCACTTCATCATGTGACATCAAATGGTAATGCAGATAATTCCACTATTAGTTTTTATTGGTTTTAGAGTTAGTTTAGAAGAATTGAGTGGACCTAAACGCGTGCATTACATATAGGAGNNCTGTCTCTTATACACATCTAGATGTGTATAAGAGACAGTACATACATACATTATACACATAAAATATACAAGCAAACGAATCCTTTCGGGGGAAAAATTCCCGAGCGCCTGCGAATTATTGCACCGGAAGAGCGTAAAATGCTTTTGACTGGGGAAATTCCCATCCAGAGCGCCTTAGTGCGCATGTTTCACTAAGAAATCTATTTAATCAAAATTTCAGAAGATAACTGCACAGGACTCAAATTTTTATTTTCTAAGAAATCTTTATTTAACACTCTATATGTTTATGAACGATTCTATGTCATGTACAACAAATATCTCAGAATGTATTATTTTGACAATAAAGTTGACTTGTATCTTGTATCTTGAATGTAGTCATAGTATGGAGCGCCATAACTGCATTCAGTGCAGTTTCCTCAAGCCGTTATGGTCAATCAACATTATACTCTTTATTTCAAAACTGTGTTTAAGGCTTGTAACGTCCCGAGAAAATTATTGTACACGACTGCTGCCAAAATGTTCTTTAATTTTTCCGAAAATACATGTAAATAATAATTTGTTTGAAAACAAACTCAATGTCTTTGACCATAAAAGCAAGAATGCTAAATCCTAAAAAATCGTAATAGCTTTCCTAATAGGGACCCATGTCTTAAACGATGGTGATTTCGTCCAGAAATCTCCTATAACACACATTATTAAGTAATCACTTAGATGCAGATGTTGTTCCTGGTGACTAAAAACTTGAAACTTTTGATCTCCTATATAGGAACAAGGGTGCCCGGATTTCTAGGTACAATATTTCCCTGTTTTGCAAACTGTGGGTCAAGACACAGAGGGTCACCAAAAAGTATGATAATTTGAAACATTTTGTTTTTGTAAAATAACAATGACGCCATCAATCTGCATATTCTGCTTTTAATTTTCTGTGATATAACGAAATACAATGCGGCTACAATCATCATGTTTTCCATTACAAATTTATGTTTGTATAAGCACTGCTGTTTACTTACTATTTTAATCTATATTTAGAATCTCAGTCCCAAAAAGTGCATTGGGGCTTAGCTAGCTTTCTGAATTTTGAATGTATGGATAAAATATCACTGGGTGGAGATTCATGTCTGAATTAGGTCTTTAAGAAGCAGAACGCTGCTGTCGAATATAAAAAGCAAAACAATGCATGCTGGAATAGTAATGATATCACAGAATACATATACTATTTATTATTAATCACAATATAAACAAATAGCGGGAAAATATGTACGTCTATATGTGTATAAATATGTATATGGATCCAAGTAGATGCCTAGTTAAATCGGAGTCAAACAGGTGGGTAACTGTAACAATAATAGCAATAATATTCACAATTATTGATGATAGAAATAATAACAATTATGACGTAATTCCGTGTTCATTGTAATATTGTTTATAATAAATATCTGTGTATCTGTTTTTATTCATTATGTTAAATATTACTGAATCTATTGAAAATAAAATTTTCCAAGTGTTAATATCGCCCAAATTGTACTTTTATAGATTCTAACCTTCAAATTTAAGTTTAATTTGAAACAAAATGTGTAAAGAAAATGCAGAATAGGCCTACTGTTGTAATGTGAGGCTGATTGCGTGCGTAAAGCCAATTCTGAGAGTAGACAAATGCGCATTTAGGCCTAGGCCTACTTTATTTTATTAGCGTACGATTAGATTTACAGTGCTCCTTTGATCAATTGTTACTTTGTGCTATAGTATTTTATTTGATCTAACGTTATTTTGATCTCATTTTCATTTTTAGAATAAAAGAAGAAAAAAATGCCTGAAGTCTATTTGTTAATCCTACTGTTTCTCATATTTATTATCTGCATTGCGGTCCTCGCACGTTTACTGTGTTGTTGTAAACGAAATCCAAATGAGATAAAAGAGGATGTTGAAAAAGGTCAAACTGAGCCTTTTCTTTTGTCTATATATGAAAATGAAGAGAAGAGCGGAGAAGATAATTCAGTGGAGGAGTTGATATTTGAGAACCTGCTTGTCGACAAAAAGGTAGAAGAGGTTCAGCCTGTTGAAAATTTTATTCAACAACCAAGTCCACTGTTGGAGGAGCTGATTTATTATTACGATACACATGTGAAGATCCCGGCTCCTAAGCAAAATAGGGCTAGTGAGGTTGTTGACAAAATTAAAAGTAATCTCCAGTTATTTATGGAGGATTCTGAGACTTTCGTTTTTGGTGACATTATGTGTCAAGGCAGTAGCTATGAAGGACTGAAAGTTATTAAACCAAACGAGTTTGACCTCTTACTGCCACTGATATTAAAAAATAGCGAGTGGAGGTACAATAAAGTTGAAAATGGATATGTTTTCATTAAAAAATTACAAAGAAGTCATGATACTATGACTCCATATGATAAGGTCATTGTCAATTATGTCTACTTGAGTCCTATCGATATAAGACGAAATATGCAATCGATTTTACATAAAGTACTAGAAAAGATCAGGCGTTCCTGCAATGTCCATGTTACTCTACGAGAAAATGGCCCTGCGCTGACTCTTCAAGTGCGGTATGATAACTCATGTGAAATGAGCATTGATATTGTTCCATCCATTAGCATGAGGGGTAAGTTGTTTGTTGCAAAGCGACATCCTGAAAGTGACTTGTATCAGTGCAGAACTGACGACAACAAGTACAACAACCTCTGGCGTGTGAGTTTTTCAAAAGAGGAAAAATTGATTATAAAAGAAATGGATGAAAACGACGAATGTCTTCAGGCTTTGAAGATCCTTAAGACAATTCGTGTGAGGAAAGGGAAGTCCTCTCCGCTAAATAAGCTGTCGTCGTATCACCTCAAAACCTGTATGCTGCATCTTAATGCCGATAGAAGTATTGAGTCCAGGCACCAGGACAAGCTCGACAATTGTTTTAAGGATCTTTTGCGGAAACTGATTGAGTTCCTAGAAGACGAAAAAATGCCAAGCTTCCACGATCATCACCCGATACACCAGCTGTCTCGCTCTACGGAGCCAAAACTCCTGGAAGTTTTGGCTCTGTAAAGGGTGACAGTGGCGTCCCATAGAACATGTTAACACTGTCTTTACTCTTTAGCCCTCAACTCTATGATTGAGGCAGGCTAGATGACCTTCGGCACATCGGGTCATTGTGAAGCGATGAACGTCGTCGACGATGACAGCACGACGATGCGGTGGATAGCCTATAGGGCCAGCCAGGGCTAGCCTAGGCCTATAAAATTTTGTACTTATGAAAGTATAATCTAATACCAGACAGACTCGGCATGGATATTCCCAGGTACT